TTAATTTAATTTTTCAACAATTTTCGAGTTCGAATTGATTTTTAAAGATTGTTAGTCTCTTAATTATGATGAAAAAGGAATTCAGGCGAGTTCCAATTAATATTTTCTACAACTTCAGGAAATACAGTAGGTGATATATCGATTAAAAGAAATTAGATTTTTGTAGCACTCTGGTTTTTATATTGCTCTTGAAAACAATTAAAATGATTGAAAATACAGTAACCGATACTTCAGGAAATATAGTAACTAATATATCTAATCGTTATAATTGTGGCATTTGTCTTGCACGAGCAACTGGTTATCATTTTGAAGCACAGTCATGTAGTGCATGTGCAGCATTCTTTCGTCGTGCCATCGTGCATCGAAAAGTATTCAGCTGTAAAAGTGGTCTTAACAACTGTACTGTTCATTATTGTATGTCATACTTTTGTAAAATTTTTATGGAAAATTTTCATTTCCAAAGTAAAGCAATACTTATTATTTATTAACTGAAAATATTTGCCACTTCTTAACGCTCCTGAATGAATGGTGTCGTAATATTTTAAAGATTACTTTGTTTTTTATCCAATCAGAAAGGTTAAGTCACGGTAAAGACGAATTTCTTCAATGATCATTGCGGTTGCAGCCATACGTCAAGTTTGTCAATCGTGCCGTTTGCAGAAATGTTTCCGTATGGGAATGAACAAAAATTGTAAGCCTATAACTTGTCTGATATTTATTGTCAAAATAATAGTAAAATGTAAAAGTTTGATGTCAGAGCTATTTCACGTAATTCATTTAAGTTTAACGTCAAAAATAAAATCATTTAAGTGCTTTAATTTTTTCAATGGTAAAGTTATCCATGTAATTTCTAAAAATTCAGATTTTAAGAAATAATTTAGTTTATATATGCAGCCAAAAAATAAAGTATTTCAAGAAAATTCTGGGGATTTTAGTACGTATCAACAATGAAAATGATTTTTCAGACTAATCATATTATCATGTGCATAGACTTTGATTGTCAGGAACGTTCATATTAATTATCAATCTTTTCTAATAACAACTTATAGCATGAATGTTAGCACTGAATTAGTTATTATAATGCATAATTTTCTCAGTATTAACATTTTATTAAAAATAATTTTGAAGTTTCTTGAAACAGTAAACGTTTTTTGCAAATAATGTAAGAATTTTTAAATTACAAAAATAACTTAATATCTGACTGCACTTCATTTATGCCTAAAATTTTTTTCAAATTAAAAAATTCAATTTGTTTTGCTGACAGTCTTTCTATTTCAATAAAATGCACCACAAAACTGGTCAGTCTTAAAATTTTCAGTTGTTCAACCTCAAAAGTTAAAATCAGAAAGCCACCGATCATTTGCTACAAAGTCAGGTCTGAAAAGAAGCAAACAGTTTGGAACAGAAATTGGCACTCTTTCCCAAGCAGAGGTAGAAAAGAAGTTTACTTGAAGAAAATTTTATGAATAGACAATATGGAACATATTTATGGCTATTTGCATCTGAAAAAGTCTGCTTCTTGACGTAGTTGCAGCTGATTCTTAGATACTGTTCTTCAACAATTCTTAGATAGATAAAAATATTCTGCAATTTATTTTCATTTATTATAAAAATATTTTTTTTCCAAAATGAAGTATATCCCTTAGTTCATTTTGTTTCCATTTGATGCTAATATCAGTGTCATCACATAAATCCGAAATTAATCCTACAGAAACAGTCATTACACTAAGTTGATAATAATCCTGTCGTGATTTTAAGTTTTCAAGTTCTTTAATACATTCAACATGGTCTCCATCATCATCGATCACTATATCAGTTTCTAACGATGGAGAATCTGAAACTAACTTGAGTATGAGATTTTTTTACCTTAAATTATGTTTTAGTTTTTTTAAATCCACGACGGAAATTTGAATTTCTTTTAAATTTTTATTCCTTTTTTTCGCTGTATGAGTGAAATAATTTCGGTCATATATGACACAAATTTGCTAATTTTTTATTTTTCATTCACTGCAGAGAAGTCAAAAACTATCGCTGATAATGGCGCATCATTTATTGAAAGTCACAAAAAAGCTAACGATATGATTGGTAGTGATGAACGATTTCTTCCAAATAGTCATAGTAATGTAAATTTTTTGCATTGACTTAATTAACCATTGAGTTGAAGTGATTCTTTTTAGGAATTTTTTCGATTATAATTACTACAAAAGCTTTTAGATATCAGTTTGAGCTCAATTTGATATTATTTGAATTATTTTTCATTTCCATAATATGACAATTTATTTAGGCAAATATTTCTCAGCTAAATGATTTAATAACAATTTATTTGCAGTCTTCAAAATCACAAAGTCCCAAATCAGAAAGCTTTTTTGGCACATTCAATGCTGCAGATTCAACACTTCGCAGTATTGAATAGGCGAAAATTTTTGTTAAGCTAAAACATTGAACTGACTGTTTGGTATATCGTAAATTTAACATATTAAGTCAGAATGTAACTTCAGCCAATAGCAATCGCCAACAAATTTCTTAGAAATAAAATTATTAGCACTTACTGATTGAATATAAAAAACCAAAAAAGTGTTCTTATCATTTTACAGGTCTTAGAACGATTAGTTGTAGAAGAATTAAAAATCAGTGAACGCCGACGAATCTTATTTTGTGAAAGACCACTGGGCAGTATATTGGGGAGATCTCAGCCTTGCGTAAGGATCCATCTTTTCATCAATGTAGAAAAATAATTACGGTAACAAAAGCTGATAGAGAGAAGTTTTTCAAATTACTAAAATTTACTTACCAAATTTAGCCATACACTGCAGAAGAAATATTTCCATTACGATTTCGAAAATTCCGTAAATCAATACGAACACACATTCTGTTGGTTTATGAATGGTTGAGAAGTTGGCCAACATACGATACTTTCAGTAAATTTGATCAGGTCACATTTAAATCTCAATTATAGACGGATTTTTTAATATGCATTAAATACTGTCATGTTTATTTAATGTTTATTTTAGTACAAACTATAACCATCATTGATAGAATTTATTATGATAATATAACTATCATTAATATCGACTTGGATATCCATTTTGCATAATAAATCTCTCTCTCTCTCTATATATATATATGCATATTTATCATACGGAGGTTCATCTATATTTGTAATCGCATATAAATAAACTTGCAGATAACATTTTTAAGAAAATGTGTATTGTATCATACAATTCTGGATCCTTCTTATCTAACTCTACAAATAGGATATCCAAGTCGATTTATTATGCAAAATGGTGGATTTCTAGCAGTGGATGAAAACTGCAAGGAAGGATGGGAAGACGAAAAAGAAATTTCTGGTGCCACAAAACAAAAGTATTTACAAAATTAGTTAAGAGATTGATAGTTTGTGAGAGACACACATTTTCAAATTTTCTATAATTTCATTTCCGGAAATACAAAGTACTCGATATGCAATAATTAAATACTCATAGGAAATAAAGAAATATGAAATTGAATAATCAGAAAATATATAAATTGCTCTAACTCAAGGCTTGCAAAAGTTTAGACATGCTAATGTTTTAATTTTGTCATTTTTTCGAATTTACCGACCGTTACTGAGACAGTTAATGTCAGAAATAGTTGAACCGATGGCTGCAATGAAAATGTCTTTAGAAGAATTTGTCGCACTCAAAGCATTTGTTTCTTGGAAAGGAAGTGAGTAAAAATTAGTACATGGATGTGGCATTTTTTTGCGAAAACTCTTTTAAGTTAAGTCATTACTTATTAGCAAATAGAAGATTAAGAATGCCATATCTCTGAGGTTAATAATAATGTACACGAATTTCTGCTTGAATTTCATTTATTGTAAGTAATATTTTCGCACTGCATCAATTTCAACAACAGTAAAGACCGTATAAAATGAGAGTTTGTTTAAATATTGTGCATTTTTGTTTTCACAGCAATATCAGAAATAAGTGAGACCAACAAAGACGCCATGAAGAAAATGCTCGATGCCTTATGCAAATCACTCCATCAGTATTACGAACACAACAATCGAAGTGATTTATCCGAACGTTTTGGCAATATCATTTTGCTGCTATCTTCCGTATTTGTAAGTCACAAAAGCAAGGCTGTTCTAAACTGTAAGCAAATGATAAACTGTACTCGTTTAACATATAGATAATTATTGTTTCAGGTTGTATATTATTTTGATTGTTCGGTCTACACTTACGAATTCAATCTTAGTACTTGAAAATGATATTTAAAAATTCTGAGATGTTATGCCATTTTTTTCCAATATCATTTTTGAATTTCAGATTCCAAAGGATGTAAGTAGTTCAAGAATGAATAATTATAGTTTTATTCGAGTGATATAAAATTGAAAAATAATGACTTCTAAGGATATCAGCAGTATAAACTGGTCTATGAAAACTGCGAAAGAATGCGTTTTAATAAAGGCAATTTAAATTGAAAACAAATTTAAGAAGGAGAAAATTAAATGAAACAAATCAGTACATTAATGATTATTTCTCAACGAAATAGAGTAACATTTAGCGCAATATAAATTTTGTTAAACAATAAAGGAAAGTAGTAATTACTGGATTTCTTGCCGTTTATTTTGATTGGGATATATATAACTGTAGCTATTTTCATTTGTTTAAAAAAGAGCACCAAAAAATATTAAAAAAATAGCAACTAAGCTTAAAGTACAATGAAATGGGAACCTACATTCTAATCATGATATAAGACAATATCAAAACTAGTCATTCTCAAAACAATACAACCAAAGTAAACAAGGCAGTACTGTAAACTCGATGACATGAAGATGTGTTGTGTTTGTTTACCAAACAGTTTTCAGGCTACTGGTGCGCAGTTTGTTGAAAGCCATCATGAAGTAGCTTTTTTCGATCTGTGGCAATTGGATAGTCTGCTCGTTCAACTCTTGAAATGTGAAAGTGATTGATACTTCATAATTAAGCAGTAGTATTTTGGTAACAAAACGATGTTATTCGTCAATTATGAAGTATGAATATAGCGCTTTCTGGTTTGTATTGTGCAGGAAATTTCTTCTTCCATTCATTAATTGTCATATTTGCATTACATATGAATGAAAATTGTCGTTAATGTACAGTAATAGAAATTTAAAAATAACATTTATCGCTCCCATCCTATAACATTGTACAATCTTAATTTTCCATATTATATGTATTTCACGTGCCACCACACTTGCACAAGCTTTTCAGATGTCTAATTGGCATTTCTTTCACAATGAAAATGCTATTCATTCCTTTGTAAATGATAATGTTTTTTAATGTATAAATGTTGTGACGAATGTTCATTTTGATACTGCCTTCAGCATTTTCGAGAAATAAATTTCCACAAATCACAAAAAAATTTTTATTTCATTATTCGGAATACATTGTGAGTTAGTAGGATTGTATCAATAATTTCAAAAATTTGTATTGGCAATATCAGTTATGCAAGAAATACTTAATACGATAAGAAAGAAGAAGTTAAAGAGACGAAATTATGAATAGTGAAAAAGTTAAAGTTAGATTGAGTATGCGCAAAATTAGGCGAGACTTAGTAAATTAATATTAGTAGTGTCTGATTTCACTGAGTAAGCATTTCTTCTTCTTTAGCTTGAACAATGCCAGCTGTATCGACTACGATTGTTGTCGTCCGTGAAAGATTCAATTTTCCTATCGTTTCAGTGATAGCTGCGCTGCTCAATTCTAATCTTTCTGCTGGCTTGTCCAAATGGTTTTCCAGGCTCGATGATCGAATCAAGTAATATCCATATACCTGCAACATAATATTCAATATTATTCCCGCTTATTATCTGGAAAAGAATAGTAAGCTATGTATTCTGCAAACTTTCTTTTCATAAAAATTAGGTAAAAAATTAAAAATAAAGATTTCCAAATTGGCACTCCTTGTGTTTGATTATGCAATTAATACTAGATTATCATATATCTGGAAATTACTGTAGTTAATAGTTCTAAAAATGTGATTCCTATCTATAAAATTGCACCCGTAGAATTCTCAAATATTGCCAGAAGTATTGCCGACAAACACATTTTATGTTCGCATTAGTGTTCCACAAAAAAGGTTCGTATTATTTTAAAATAAGGCTAAAACTTTTAATCTAATAATACAGAAAAATAAAACCTTTTCTTCTGGAGCGATTTTCAGCTCTCTTCTTACTTCTCTCAACAAATCAGCAATTGTTCCTTCACGATCAAACGGAAGTTTTCTAACTTCAATTTCATCATTAAGTCTAATATTAATCTCGCAAAATCGGTCTGCTGATTTAAACTCAGTCGAAAGCTTTAATGCCTGAAAAATTTATATTGCTTTCAACAAACTTCAACCTTATATTACTTTTGAACAAACTTCACTAAACACTTTTTAGCTTTCTTACACGCTTTTTATGTTACTGTAAATGGTCACGATGAAAAATAAAAACTTTAAAACTAACAGTGACTGTTTCATCTTTGATTGTATAGCACCATTTGTTGTCCAACCAAAGTTTTTCAAAAAAGGCAGCTTTGTGAGGAAACATCGCACGCATTGCCATTACTGAATCAGTACCGTATAGAGCATTGCACAAATGGTTATTACAATGTGGCAGTGAACCTGTAATTGATTTTTGTTACACAACATCAGTAAGATATATTCAATACAATGAGAAAAAAAACCAAACTAAAATTAGCATATTAAGAAATATAAATTTTAAGCCCGAATTTTTTCGCAAGAAATTTTGCTTGGTTGATGAATAAATTCAAAACGAACCAACTGTTTCACATTCCTCGATCATTTCCTCCAAGCAGCGCATACAAACAGTGTGGTCACATTCCCCTTTCGAAGGAAAACCATTAATTGCCACATTATTACACCTAGACCCAACTGTGCACTTAATCACCTAAATTTGATTAATATAATGAATTGGTCTTTCAAACTCTCAACTTTCAAGATTAAATAAAAAATGCTGTACCCAACTCTATGACACAAAACAGTGCTATAAATGATGCATATATATTAATTAATCAAAAATATTGCATATGTATTCATAATTAAAAAGTATTACATTAAGTTCAAAATGTCATGAAGTTTTCGATGAGCTAGGAATAATAATTAGTAAGAGCATAATTTTAATGAATTACTTGTCACAATGCTCTTTTCTTGACATATACTTGACATATACGTAGCTCTGACATTTACAAACATTTACTACTGATAGTGAAAACTTTGAGCATTATTCAGATCAGAAATAAGTTCTTGTAATAATGCGTCAAAAGTAAAAAGATAAATTGGATGCATGTATATACCGGTTCACTGAAGTCAGATAATCGAACACATTCAAATGGACATTTCTCCTCAGAACCTTAAAAAAATGCGATTAATTTAAATTGTATTGATTAATCAAACAGTAGTATATTACCTTTAAAAGTTGAAAAAGTGAAGGAAATAGTGAGCTGCGGATGTTGAGGAAAATATGATTTTATTGTGATAATTGACCACATTTTATAATTACAAATAGTACTACCTGCCGTAATTTTACGCCCGAACATCGCTTCGAAACACTGATTGCATATCTTTGCCTGGCAGCACTTCATGGTTACAAATTTGCCTTGTTCTAAGAGTTGCTTGCAAATACCATCACAAATCTCTGCATCATCATCTTCATTTGCTTTACCGGGACAACCCTGAACCGGACAAACTGAAAAATTATTTCTTGAGTAAGACAAGAAATATTCAAGCATTCTTTTAAATTTATTATTGAAACAAAATATAAAGGAGGACTCTTATGAAAACCAAAAATATATTTTCTGAAATGTAATAACAGATTTTGAATATGCAAATTTGTTTGCATGCGCTACTTCATATGTAGTTCTTTTTTAATACATATATTTGCATTGAGTATTTTTGAATATGCAGATTTTATATGAACCAGGATTTGCTAATCGTTTATATCCTTCCATGCATGTCACACATAAATTATGATCACATGATAAGGGTTCCAAACGGACTGCTGACAATTTTCTGCAAAATCAAACAAAATTTAGTCTTTTAAAACAAATTTGAAACTGTCATCTATAGTTTTAAGCAAAAAGCTTTTATATATAATAACTTTGCACTATTTATATGTGCAGCTGCATAAAAATTCAGCTTCTTAGCAACAAATTATAATTTGTAACATAAAGAAGATTGATGATGAAAAGCAGTTTCGTACAAAATTTTTTTTTCTTGAATTCAAAGCTTGCAAGTCGAAAATGAAACTTTGTTGCAAAAGCAATACAGTAGATAAAAAGATGGATACTTACCGAGAACAAAACGGACTATCGCACTGTTTCCAGTTCAGACGTCTTACGTAATATCCTTCATATACTGAGTAGCAATTAGAGGCCAGGCAAATCTGATTTGAGAATAAATATTAATTACATTAAATAAGCAAAAAATTTTCCTATATTAAGAATTTGAAGATATAACTTCATTATACTCATAAATGAATATGAAGTTTTTGATGTAGAGTACAAGACTTGAAAAACCTTACCACAGGCGTAAGGGTTTTTTTAGAAGGACTGGTCGGACTTCTTGGTTTTCCCAATTTTTCCTACAATTGCAACATTGATTCCTTTTGATACTTTTCGTCAATTACATAGAAGGAAAGGAGCTTTCAGCAGTTGTGACAAGCAAATAGAGTATCTCGAAATTAAGAGCGTATTATAAGAATATCTACTTACTTCATTCAAAAGCCGCCATCGATCCACGCAAGCCTTGCAAAATACATGTAAGCAAGGCGTGAACTGCACCATTTTGCCAACTGGTACATCCCGCATACATACCGTACAACGCATCATGTCAAGCCGCTTACTGCTCACCTTTCCGAAAACAATAAAGAATTCTTACAAAATAACTCTTAAATACTATCATCATTCACATATGCAAATTTCATGAGTTTTACATCATTGTACCACAGCATTTGTACGTTATACACAACGCAAACGTGCACCATTTTCAGGTATAGAATCGTAAATTCAATAAAACGCACAGCAAAAATTTTGACCTGTACACTTTACTTTCTTCTAATATGAAATAATTCTATCAAGGCAGCGTATGTTACGTGGACGCACGTATTTTGGAATTTTCTTTTATTGTCCAATTTCTGTATATGCATTTTTGTGGAAAGATATTTTACCCGGCATTGCTAGTAGTCAAAAGATAGCATGAATTTCGAAGAAATAACAAAGTAATTCTTCAGAAGTAACATCAAATTCACTATGATAAATTTCAGTGACTAAACCTTAGTAATGTCAATGGTTAATTTGCTAAATTTACAAGAAATCAAAAGGTATTTAGTGTACTGAGAAGCCAGAACGTTTAATATAGCACCAACTTTACTGATTTATTGATTGCTAGAGAGAAACAAAGATAACACGGAGCACAGAAAGTAGAACTGTTGAGAGTAGAGGGATAGAAACAGATCGTTTTGCTTCTGGTGCCACTCCGAGATATGACAAGTCATCTGCCTCACCCTGTACGGTATCATCCTTCAGACCCGGTACGAATATCTCCTCCGTTCCCAACATGTCTTGGAACTTTCTTTTCTCCTTCGTTTTCGCTGATTATCAATTACAATTAGAGTAGTACACATTCATGTATGCTAATTGCATTTACAAATATAAGGTTTTGATTGCATTAACTCAATCATGTATTAAAATTACCCTCAAGCCACACTTTTTCGTTCATAGAATCCAACTTGAATATAAAGTAACTTCAAGTAACTTTATTCATATCAAAAGTTGATTTCATTTTGAACAAAACTGTAAAACATTTAAAGCTAGCAAAAAGTTAAAAGATTTAGAAGTAATTAATAGATAGCTGAAAAACTTACACGCTTTTACGCATATGACGTAATCAGAAATGGACTCGCAAGGTGTCTGTATTACTTCTAAAACATTTATGCATTCATTCCCTCATTTAAATAATACTGTTTATAAATATTACAGAATTAGAAAGAAGTTAATTTTGTCTCACTATTTTGTTTTATTTATGTACAGAAATTCAAGCCATTTTCTGTTTTCTGAAAGAAGCGCATTAAAGGTTTTTTTTAAACAATATTTAACAGCAGTAAAATACAAATTTCTCGTTTAAAAATTTTATGCATTACAATAATTACAATACTTTACTTGAGGAAAAAGAAGAAAAGTTTAGAAAATCAAGCATAATTTAGAAAGACAAACTATGAGTGGGTAATTCCAGCATAAAACATAATGCCATTTCATCTTCTGACCGGTTTACCGTGATCTGAAATTACTATGAATGTGAGAAGTGATTTTCACATCAAAACTTTACCAGCATTAATTTTAAAAGGCTCATACTTTGGCTTTTTAGACGTCTAATATTTACTGCATAGAGACTAGCTTCATATTCATTCCAGATATGTAATAATGGTATATCCAGATACAAAATTATGTAGAGATTCGTACACACAATCTCCTTTTTTTTTAAACCTGTAAATCCTGGCTTCGTTTCAAAGTACATAAGCAAAAAATAAAGACAAGCTTACCCCAACATTTTCAAAGTCAAACCCCCCAGATGTCACTGGTATTTCAGTATGTTTTTTGACTCTCTGATTTATATAACCATAAAACGGGTTATACAAAGACCAAAGCTCTACATATCCTGATACGCCGTAGGCTATTTCTGAAAACATCAATTTTAAACTAAAAACCTTTCAAGTTACTTTTGAAAATGAAGTTTATGGTATTACAAATCATAGCAATAACGATAACAGTAATAGTAACGAAAACAGAATTCATCTACTTTTGCTTCATAATAATTACTTAGAGAAATTTAATAACGTTTAACTACAAATTTTTGTAGATTGCCTAACTTAAGTAAAAAAAAGTATGACTTGTCACAGCTTCGATTTCGCCTACATCATATGGGTTGAGTATTTCAGCATTTTTACTGCTACATAACCTTTGAGCTGCATAATAATCCCCTCCGTTCTAAATTACATTTTGAGATTTTTTATGGCTATTTTGATCAAAAATTAATCCGCTTTCATGACATGTTGAGCCAAATTAATTCTTTAATTCCTTAGATATGTTTGAAAGAAAAGTGGCACTGAATGTTTTACATAACTCCAAAACACACTACAAACTCAAATCATTTTAATTCACAAAATAAATTGGATTAGTTCATGAACTACTCGTCATAGTCAATTCCAATACTTTGAATATTACACGTACCGCAACAGGATCATCAATTTCAAGAAATAAATAGCACATCGCTTTATTGTTCATAACGTACAGTAAAAATCCGTTATCGCAATCCTCATTGAGAAAATACTGCACTGAAAAGTAAAACATGCAGAAGTCATACTTTAATGTTAATAAGCTAAATGTGCAATGAGTAAAGAGATTTTAGCAATAAAATAAGGCTTCAGTTCTATCATTACAATTTACTTTTTTACTGTACAAAAAGTTACCTGCAGAATTCCGATGTTCACAAACTATAACATTATGCTTTTCATATTTCATACCATATTTGTAATCTAAAAAGTGTCAGTGTGATATCTTACAGAACAAAAAATGCTTGCTAATTCTATGCTTATTTCACACTACTGTAATTTTTATACTCTCAGTATTTTTTTTATAGTCCTAAGCCAAGTCAGAATGTAAGTACGTTATTGAAACCAAACATCGATATTACTTAGACCAAACACTGAATAAGCAAGCAAACATACAGTCATCATTCCCTAATGCATTTGACAATAACAGTACGTCCATTGAAAGGGGATACGATATGTTAGCATCGCTTTCAACATTATTACGTATTTTCATCCACTTGTCATCCCCGGAAATAATTGCTAGTGGTATCGTTGATTTCGTTGCTATATTTGAAATTAAAAATTAATAGTTATGGTTTAAAACTGCTCAACATTATTTCAACTCACCGAATTTTGTGTATAATTTAGGACAAAGTTTTGAGACAACAGTAAAGTCTTTCTGCATGCTGTTGTGGAGAATAGTCGACTTTCAAATAAAGCTTTAATGAGCAATAAGAATAGAGTGCAGCAAAATATATATATAGGAATTTTAGAATTAGCTGAAAATATATTTATGATTAAAAAGAAAAATTTGTACTCGCAGTTGTTAGATAACGCATAAATTTGTACAGAATATGAGGACATACGTAAAGTTCTAATGAAATTTCTAAGGAAATCAGTTTCCTCTACGCCGAAAGGACTTGGCAGTTGTCCACCCACTTTCTTGCAATATTCACTTGCTTCATTCCATTCCATATATATACCTATCTGCAACAATCAAATGTAGCCAATTATGACAGAAATATCATATGCGCAAAATTATTTAAATATCTTTTGACTGACCAAACCAAAGCCAAAGCACACATCCAGATTTACGCCACGTGTCCAGTTTAGTGTACCATCGTAGCAAACTATATCACTAGTTTGTCCATTTGGCAATTCATAACTGATCACAACCTGAGTTCATCATCAGATTAACTTTTATTTTCACAATATGCTGCTATGTTGTAACCTTGAAACATTTCAAGGTATTGTTGTCTGTTCATGTGATCGGTTATTGCTAAATTTTTGTCATTAGCTGCATAACACAGCAAAAAATGATTTAATTCTGAAAAATGGACTGAAAAAGAAGCACAATTTTACTGCAAATCTTACCATGTAAATCTTAAATTCCAATTATATGCGTGAATAAGTCAAGTCAAGAGATAACAATATTGTGAGTTACATTTTAAAACAAGTAATAATTATGGATAAGAAAGGCAGCAGAAGAATTGAAACTTCTCAGTGACCACAACAATCAGTTATTAATCCCTTAAGCTACTAAATGTCTCGACCAATAAGATAGTAAAAAATAAGCAAATAACGAGACTCACTTCCACAAAAGCAAGAAAGAAGCAACGTGACACTACTTTACACATTTGAAAATAACGACTTCTCATCATTCTTATTACTTGTTATACATTTAATTATTCCCAAAAATCCATGCAAATTCGGCGTTATTGTACTTTCTTTTTTGAAAATGATTAAATCTGTGAGATAAATTACTGTATGCTGTTGGTAATTTTAGCTGTTTTGTGATACATTGTATTATTCAGTTTATAATTGAATTTGCACTTCTGAACGAATTTAAGTTTGTCAAGTCAGTACAAGTCAATTGCTGACTACTGAAGTTTTGTTCTTGATACGTGGTACTCATTCACATTTCTTACATAACTGATACATACCAGTTATGCTTCAAATTTAAGTAATTACTGGAGATAGATATAAAAGCACATCAGTGATTGCAAGCAGAATACAGTACCATTTCAAATGTTAAATGTTCTACCACAAATTTATAATGCCTGAATTCGTAAAAGATAATCAGAAATAAATGAAAGTCAATACTGAAATCATTATACTCTAAATGAGTAAACATTACAAACTTTTACTTAACGACCTTTGACTTTGCTTCACTCAACAATCTTCTTTGCTTTCAAAAATCTGCTATGCATCGAACATTCTGATGAATAACAAAGTTAATTAGAGATGGAAAGGAAAAGAAGCAGAAAACATATTTCTTCCTTTCATTCATTGCTTGAATTATTATTTTTTGTCAACTTTAACCTTACTTACATTTACTAGTACGTCACTCCATTTTTGCTGTAATTAATTTAAATTGACATTGCTTGGAAAGACTTTTGACTGAGTTTTGACGCTCTCCAACTTCAATAACATTTCACGGAAAATTATTCGGCAAGTCAGCGTTAAAATACTTCATCATACAGCTAAACCATTTCGGTAAGCAAAGCCAGGTTACTCTGTACTTCTAAGCTTTCATTAATCCTTACTAATCAAAGAGAGACTTTAAATTGCATTCGTAGTTTCATTTGATGGATTGCTAAGTTGATTACTGGAGGGGTAGAATTTATTTGCTGAAGAACTTTAATAATTCGTTAGTTACGATTATTGTGAACTAGAAGCTAATTTCGAGGAAGTATTGCTTGCATGTCATTTGTAGATGGGTAAATCGAAGAAATTAAAGTCATATCGTGGGGATTTCGTTACCAGATCAGCACTTCCATTGGATGAGCAAATTGAACGTAGTAAACGTGAAAATAAACGTGAAAAAAGCCACATAAAACAACGGATTTTAAAGCGATCCAAAGCGGATGATGAGGTAAAGTTTCTTTTCGATCTGTCGATCTTCCTTCATTATTTTTATATTCATTATAATTCATTCATTTCTATCTCTTAGTATATCGATGGCTCGCTCTCTAGTAAAATTCTGAAATTAGCTTGGAAGCAAAAAAGAGATGAGGAGGCAGTAGAGGAAGAAGCTGAAAATCAAACTAGTATGAGTTCACTGACGAGGTTATGTAATTATTTTTTTGTACAAATTATATATCTTGCAACTTGTTCAAGGAAGTTTCTTAGGACTTATATGTTTTCATTATTATTAGAACTAATTTTTGGGTATTGAGTGATATTTCTAGATATTTTTTTCTGAAAATATACTACCAAAAAATTTTCTTACTTTTGGTGCAAAAATTTTCATCTTTGATTGAATTAAGTTTTTATCAAATACAAATTTATTGCGTTCCAATGCTTCTTATATTTCAAGAAATCGAACTGTAAGCTTAGGAGACGTCTCGGTGGATTCACTTTCGGATGATGAATTTATTGACTGTAATCAATATGAAGATGATATCGTGGTTAGTTCCAATTTATCTAAATGACATGTTATGATGTGTAAATGACACACAAAGATTAGATAAGTTGTAGTATGATCATGGTCTTTAAATTAAAAGAAAATTTAAAAAATTGAAGTTTTGATTTGTGATATATTGTAGAATCTGAATCCAGAAGATGAAGCTGCCATAGAAAAGTTTTTGGTGAAACCAGATGAACCATCACAAACTCTTTACGACATAATCTCAAAGAAGATTGAACAAAAAAAGCTTCAGCTTGAATTTCAATTAGTTGATCAACAAGATGATGACTTTGTGGTGAGTACTTGATAATTAAAGCGCATATTGTTTGTAAAGGGTAATATTAGTAGTAGCGTCATGGAACTAATGTTCTGCAATTTTAATCAATTTTAGATAAAAAATATGGACTCGAAAGTTGTGGAAATGTATCGTGAAATTGGTGTCGTTTTGTCACATTACAGAAGTGGTAAAATACCGAAGGCCTTCAAAGTTCTTCCGAATATGATGAATTGGGAACAACTATTGTAGTAAGTTTTCTTATTTCATAATATTACTATTGTATGGTTGTTGAAAATTAACTTAAATTTTCAGTTTTACAGTTGTAAGAAACTTTTATAGTTTAGAAAATGCAGTTTAAAAAATTATTTTTTTTAGTCTTACCAATCCTGACAAGTGGTCAGCTGCAGCTATGTATCAGGCAACTAGAATATTTGCATCTAATCTTCATGCAAGAATGTGTCAGAGGTAAGTCTTCACTGGTATTATAGTTCAGTCCTTTCAAATTAAAAGTTTTATTGTTATCTATCCACATGTCTTGATAATTTGTTTTCAGTGTTCAGTTTTCATTTTTTAGATTTTATAATTTGATATTATTGCCACGGTTGAGAGACGACATAATTGAATATAAGAAACTGAATTTCCATTTATTTCAAGCGTTACACAAAGCAGTTTATAAACCTCAAGCTTTTTTCAAGGGAATTCTTTTACCACTTTGCGAGGTGAAGCACATTGTTATCAAAAAAAAGTGATTCCGTGAATTAAAAGAATTTATGAAATCCACTTATTTATTTGAACAAAAAAGTTGGAAAGTGAAATTATATTTTTAAGATATTCATAAATTTGTGATAAAATTTCTATCATGACATAAAAACTTCATTTAAGAACATTTTTTGTTTTTTTGTATGTAATTACGTGTACTTGTTCTCTCCAAAGCAGGTAATTGTCGTTCTTTTCAGTCAGGAACATGCACACTTCGCGAAGCCACCATTTTTGGTTCAGTTTTGTCTAGAGCATCTATACCAATGTTGCATGCTGCAGCTGCAATGCTCAGAGTATGAAAATTTAGATTTTTGTCTCCAAATTTTTAGCTACTATTCAGATTTATGACAATCGTCGTTTCGTTGTTTTTTGTAGTATTTGTTTTTTCAGATCGCTAATATGCAGTACACTGGTTCCAACTCCTTATTTTTAAGGATATTAATCGACAAAAAGTATACTTTACCATATCGAGCCATTGATGCACTAGTAAACCATTTCCTAAGGTAATAGACTTAATAACTCCTTTCTTTGGTGAATTTAAGAAACATTAGTTTTTCATTGTTACAATTTTTAGAATTAAAATCATTTTAATACCACAAATTTTAAGAGAAACTTGGTTTCTTTTTTCAAACAAGAAAGTTAGATTTATGTAATAGCGTGTATCCAATTTGGCATTTTCAGATTTCGAAATGAAGAACGGCAGTTGCCTGTTTTGTGGCATCAGTCTTTATTAGCGTTTGCACAACGTTATAAAAATGATATAAATGATGAACAACGTGCAGCTTTATTGGAACTTACAAAGGCAAACATTACTATTTTGGAGTATTATATTTTTATAAAGACTTTATAAAATCAAGACTTTTTGGGTCTTTCGACTCATATGAATTTTGCTTGTTTTAAATATTACAGCTAAATAAAGTTTATTTTATTTTAGGTACAAAATCATTACCAGATATCGCCTGAAGTGTGCCGTGAATTGATGTCATATAGAAGAAATGAACATGATACCGAAGCTAACCATTGATGCTGCTTCAAGAGTATACTTTAAGTTGTGGTTTAAGACAAAATATAATTTCGAGTTTTCATGTGTGATCTCCGTAAGGTGAAACTTTTTTAGGTTACAAAATACTGCAAAAAAGTGAAGATCGACTGTAGTAATATTAAGGTTTTTTTTATGTGATATATAATTTTCTGTTCCTTTGCTGTTCATATTATGTTGGATATGGGTGACGATTGCTTGATATTTTTGTAAGCAGAACTTTGGTTATTTGCGGTCGAGATTATTTGAACTATCGAAATTGTATTCAAAACAATCTGTTAAATACTTGTTATTGTTGTTAACTACTTTAATCAAGAAATAAAACTAATTTTGACATTATCCAAACATTGCGAAATTCTTTTAAAAAGATACATCATATTAAACTTCATTATAATTGAGAATCTTCTTCATATCATTTGTCATTATCGTGCTAGATATCGTAAATTCTACATCGAGTCCATTCCCTAATATATTTTCAGTTCTTTCAATTAACAGTAACGTTGCCGCATAATAGGGATGAAGGCACTTCCTGATAAGTGCTATTTGATAAGAATGATTGTGTATAAGTTTTTCTGCGTGAAATTCATTAATAATGATCTCACAGGAACTATTCGAAACGGGATCACCAATTCTTATTTTTCAATAAAAGTGCTATCATGCATTAGTTATAATTATGAAGTAATCTGAAAATTTTAATCATTCCTTGTAGATGATGCATTCAGTTAGGAGTCTTGCACAATTTTGGTTTGTCGAAGGAAGAATTACGGCAACGTTACTTCGCAAGTCTAATGAAGGATGTTTAACACAGAAAAGGATGAGGCGGAGGTCTAACAAACGTTTCTTATATCAAAACAGTGCATCCAATTTTTTTTTCAAATTTTTAGCCAGTCCTATAAAATTTTTCCATCTGTTTCTTGCTCGTTTTATTTTATCTTTGAATTCAGTATCTTGTAAATAGACTGTGTATATTTAGAACACTTACACCGCCTCCGTGGCTACCTAAGAAAAAGGAAGAGAAAATTGTGGAGTCCATCGACCCGAATACACAAGTGATGTTACAGAAACTTATCAAATTAGAAAATGAAGGTGCATGTCAAAATCTAAGTATATGTTTTTTCAGTATTCTCAAGTTATTATGTTATAAGTGACATAAATGTAAGAGAAAGTGATCCCGTGAACTAAGATTGTGTGGAAATTCACTTGTTCAAACAGTAAAGTCGAGAAGTAAAATTAAAGCTCAGAAATATTCATGAATTCGTCATGAAAAATTCTATTATGAGTAAAGCTTCATAGAAGATGTTTTTTATAAAACTTTCAGCGGAAGACTGATAAAACAGAAAATATCCACTTATGTTTTTTCAATCTTCTGCTTAAATAGTTAAAAATCGAAAAAATGACTACAGTTCATGTTCCAATCATTCGGGCAAACCCGCATTTATCTCCCAAAGCTCCATTATGTGAACTGCCGCAAGCTGTTCCATCACCAGAATGGACTCCAGAATCTAATCGAATTGGAATGATTGCACGAAAGATTGGAATGTTTCCTCAATGGACTGTCGATGGAACGCGATTTTTGTGCACATTGCTTGAGTTTCCCAAGAATGTCGTTATTTCAGCAGTTGATCCGGAAACATACTATCGGTCAGTTTCAATTCAATGAAGACTTTCTTTCTTAAATTGTTTTTCAAGATTGCATGGATGTCAAGTTTATAATCTCTTCCGCAATATTCCGTGTTACAGTTTATCATTAACACACAAAAAGAGTGAGTTACCAATGTTTTCAGTAAACATAGTTAAAAATCAGAATTTTTATAGAATAAGCATAGTTGGCAAGCGCAAAGCCTATGGTAGATATGGTCCTCGTTGGCGAATTATGATTGGTGCTGAAGATGGTGATCCATCAAAATATAGTGCTCAGTATCGTGCCGCTTTCGAACGTCATGGTAGCATTTGTATTATTCTACATCTTTCGTTCTATTGTCACCATTGCTCTTTATATATTGCAAATTATCTGGGTAAGTAATCGAGATTTTTAAGGTATTTCTGTGAAAAAGCACATAGCAGCTTTTTTGGTTACTGAAGATGCAGTGGTAAGGCCAGGTACAGAGTTACACATTTGTCATTTCAAAGTAGGTCAATTTATAACTGCCACTGGACATACCATTGATTGGGGTTTTCAAGGTGGTATGCATCGATGGGGCTTCAAAGGTATGCCTGCTAGGCGGTAAGTTTTTGTACATTATTATTTCTTTACCTTATGAATCAGTCAATTTTCCGAAAATAATCTGCAAACTTCAGATTAATTTTAAAATTGTGTCATTAGAACCACAAAATCGCATCGTCGAATCGGTGCTATTGGTTCAAAAGGAGATGCTAGAGTAAGACCAGGAAAACGAATGCCTGGTCATATGGGTTATGAATGGCGATCTATTCCAGGTCTTGAAGTGTTAAGAATAAATCCTGAAAAACAAGTTTGTTTACTGCTATTACTTTTCAATTGTGCTTATGTGAAGTAAATTTTTATATGATTTTTATTATTTCTCATAGCGTACTTTTAAATAATTTTGTGGACTTTACTTTAATTACCAAAAATGCAAACATGTGAATAAATAATGATTCTCTATGCAGTATCGTATGCTTTGTTGTAGCAGTCACAATTGATTCCATTAAGATATTTAAAGGGAGTTGCATTACAGGTCATGTATGTAAACGGGTCGGTACCTGGTGAAACAGGGGAAATATTGCTCATCAAAGACTGTTATCATGATAAAAAAAAGGTGTTAAATCCACATTTTCCAACTTTTTATTTTGAAAAAGATTTTGAGGCTGAAACAAAATGTAACGAAAATCCTGATTCCTTGTTCGTTTATGAAGACGGTGAATTCTTCGCCAGGAGGTTATTTAGGTCCGTTTTAAGTCATTTATTTTGATATTTTTTGCTTATAAGTCACCACTGAGTTCCGAGCATTTATGATTTTTCACTCACTGTAAGAATTGATTTTGCCTTTCAG